CTCACTGTCAAGAAAAACCCTAAACCATTTTAAATGCCATATTCTGTAGGTCTTTGAAAGTTTTGAAGAATGTCTATCCACCTCAAATACATGTCTGTATATCTAGAAATCTTAACTAACTTAGCTATAAGATTTGACTATCATAGGTACTATCTATAATCTGTATTGAATTATACATTACATTTTTAAATGAGCTATATATATACAATACCTAAACAAGAGGAGAAAACTTCCAGAGGTTTACAATGTGTTTTAAAATATATGTAGACATGGGAAAAATAAAATAAAATGGTTTTTAAAAGACAGAGAACAGCTAGATGTGGCTACACACGCCTTTAATTCCAGCACTTGGGAGGCAGAGGCAAACAGATCTCTTGTGATTTCAAAGTTAACCTGGTATGCAGAATAAATTCCAGGACAGATAAGAGTTACACAGACAAAGCCTGTCTCAAAAAATAGAAAAGAAACAAAATAATAAAAAAGCCACAAATAAAAAAAATCTGGACACTGTATGGTATTATATTGTCTTTGTATTGCTTGACTGCTGAGGAAACAATAACTGTTAAAAATGCTACTAAATTAATTCAATTTATATATTCTAAAAATGCTTTGACTCCAACATTTAAGTTCAAGGACAAGTTACTGGGGAAAAGGATTTCTATTTTTGTTTCCACAGAAAATGAAAAGCTGTGGATTCCTTCTAGACTAATGTAGTTTGAGCAAGCCAGACCCCCTGAAACAGCATTCCTGGTGATCCAACATTCAAAACAGCTTAAACAAGCCAGCCTTGCAGACTACAGCCAGGATTTCTGCATCTTCTTAGGATCCCCCATGACAGCACCCCCTATCAGCAGGAAGTAGTTTGGGAAGAATGAAGCCCAAATTCCCAAATAGTGTTTATAAATGTTTGTTTTCATTTAACTGGGCTTGGTTATAAATGGTTAATGACCACAACCAATTTCTTTTTAAAAGTAAAAAGGGAATTATGGTATAGATATGAATACTTTGTTTTGGAATGGATTTTCATTTATTGATACAATTTAAGGTCAATTTTGTGATGTGTATATTTCTCCTTTTGTTTAGGTATTGTCTTTATATAGTTCATTCAGAAATGTATTGTATAATGTAGTACAGATTATAGATAATTACTTATGATAGTCAAAGCTTAGAGTTAAGTTAGCTAGGTTTCAAGATACACAGAGATGTATTTGAGATAGATAGGCATTCTTCAAACCTTTCAAAGACCTACAGAATATGGCATTTAAAATGGTTTAGGGTTTTTCTTGACAAGGAGACATAATTGTTCCTGGAAATATGACCTGCATCAGAAAGGAAGATGGAAATTGAAGAAACTCGTTATAGAGTTTGCTTCCAATATGGCAAGACTAGCCATTTGGACAAGATACTGCTCTTGTCTGGACTGTTTGACTTTATCCTGTATAAACTGGACATGCAGGACCCACAGAAAAATGACATTGCTACAACGGTCCTGCTTCATGGAAGAGTCTGCCAGACAGTCTGAAGGACACAGAGAAAAGTCACTGACAAACTGCCAATACAAGAAGACAGTTTAAAGTTTCCTGCTTTGCTGAAGAGTCTGCCAGACACACTATGGCCTATGGGCTGAAGATGGAAGATTACAAAAGAACTTCGGGTGACCAGGCAGTGAGTTGTCTCTGTCATTTCTAGAGTTTGTATACTATCCTTCTGTGGTCTTTGAGGGAGTTGAAGACAGATAGTTATGGTTATAGTTTTCTTAGTATTAAAGATAAGTTACTTAGACTTTAGACACACAAAGATAGGATAGATGATGGAATATTTTCTTCAAATCTTGCTAAATGTTAATGGACTAAATATTGTTAACTGTGATTCTTACTTGATAACTGTTGTATAATATATTTTGCTATGTTAAGTTTAAAACCCTTCTTTTTATTTAGACAGAAAAGAGGAGATGATGGGAGATGCCATTATGTATATATGTTTCTCATGCTGGTTAATGAATAAAGCACTGTTGGCCAATAGGAAAGGAAGACAGGATGGGCTAGGAGTTAAGGAGGAAAGAGGAAGTAGTAAGGAGGGGTCAAGATGGAGAGTCTGGAGAGAACAGAACCGCCATTCCTCCACTCTCAGTAAGACCACATGGAAATACATAGAAATGGGTTAATAATTAAGATAGAGCTAGCCGATAAGAAACTAGTACCTGGCTAACAGCATTGTATCAAATACAGAGTCTCTGTGTGTTATTTGGGGCTGGCACGGCGGCGGGACAAGACCGGTGGCGGGAGGAAAAACAGTACTCGTTACAATGATCTTTCTTTTGACTTTCCAAGCACTTACCTCTGTATGAATCATCTGGCATGAGAGAGTATCATTCATGTAAATATTTCTTGACTGTGACATCTCTGGGAAATGAGCCCATGAAAGAAGCCCACTGTGGTATTAAGTCTGTGGCTTATATACAACCTGATGTGTTAATCATTGATTGATATCCACACAAGCAAGAAGGAGCCTGATGAAACACATTTAAAATCTTTATTCATTGATTTACAAAGTGTACAATATTTACATTTAGGCATCAATCCCATATTGACATGGATGTTGAAAGGAGTCTAAAAATAAATATGTGGCACATAGGTTAATATACACATCATGGCTCTTTGCATGTCAAGCCATCACCAATGGTGAGGATTAATGGAAAGTTTAAAGTTACAGAATTGTCAGATGGCTAATTTGTCCTGGACCTTCAACATGAATAGCCCCTTCTTGGCTTGTGAGGCTAAGGGCAGTGAGCAAATCACATTCTTTCAAGAGAATTAAACAAAAGCCACTTTGAAAGGCATTAGGGATGCATACAGCACACATGTACAGTGGCTACAATTCCTCACCAGGTGGTGGGCAATCTGCATCCTTGAGAGCCTTATCCCTGTAAACCAGCCAGGGGGGCTCTAATGTGGTCAATCCCTTGTCTCTTGTTCAGATTGCATGCAGCACTTGGAAAATATCAATGGAGTGTGACCATGCACAAAAAATGGTACTTATAGATATGTACAACACCAATTCCCATTGTCTAAAAGCATCTTTAGATGCAAAGTCAACTGTCTCCTCTTTCCCCAAGAGGGATAAATAAGGAAGCTATAACTTTACTCCCCAAAGAACGAAGCATCAGCTGGGGACACATGCAAATGTCACCCTGAGAAGCAGGATGTATTCTATACAATAAGATGGGCAAACTCCCATGAAGTCAGTCCTGTGAGCTTTCCTAGCAGAAAAACTCCACATCCTGTTCTTTTCAAACCTGTCACACCCCACATAAATGAATCTGAAGGAAAATGCTTCATTTCTGCAACATCTCTGAGCCTTGGGACCTTCATTTGCAAAGCATATATATGTACCGCTCCTTACAGAACTGCTAACTGCTATGGGATTATATGGCCTAACTATGTAAAGTGCTTAGCAAAGTGCCTGGCACGGGCTTATTCCATGCCTTTCTCTCTGGACTCTCCCATCCTCAGTTATAAACAAGAAATTGATAATTTGTATCAGAGTTTCTGCTGTCAGGTCATATTTGGTCCCTGGGTGGGGAGTGTCTCATTTTACCAGCTGGAGTTCCCTGTGCAGGGCAGATGTATCTTAACAACACTGTCCTCTTTGTTAGGACATTGCTCCTCCAAGTTCCATGCTAACATACCCCCACAGTCCCGCATAGACACTTGGAACAATGATAGTCTCCACGCAAGTATTTCCAGAACCGTGTTTCTGAAGAAACCATGAGCAAAACACTTGAGGCAAACACACAACTCAGGCTCACAGCAAATTAATTTTTTCAGCATAAGCCCAAAGATCATCAATAACTCTCCGTGAGTGAGTGGTAAGCTCTACAACTTTTGGAAACAAGCATTCTAATTTCATATTTTGTTCTAGTTTATGTCATACAAAAATAAGTGTAATTTAAAGAATTTACAAGGAAGAAGAAAACATTGTGATTTTTTAAGTTAAAAAAAAAAACATGACTAATGATGAAAATCTTTTCTACTTCAAATGTAATATCTGAGTGCAACAAATACTATCCTTTAGGCCACCATACCACTTATAGTCCATCTTTTTCTTATCCTGGCACATATGTGTTCTTACCTTATTGATCTACCGATAATTTAATTTAGAACTGTCTCCCTAAAATCACTTGGTTTGTGGAAGGAGAGGGCTCTTTGACAGTAAATACTATGGAGAGAGAGAGAGAGAGAGAGAGAGAGAGAGAGAGAGAGAGAGAGAGAGAGAGAGAGAGAGAGAGAGAATGAATTAGCCATTTCTGGGACTTCAAAATGAACTAGGACTAACCTCCACAAAGCTCCCTTTTATTCTGGAGTCCTCCCTCTCTCTCTCTCTCTCTCTCTCTCTCTTTCTCTCTCTCTCTCTCTCTGGTGAGATTAGCTACATCTGAAAGGAATGCAACACCTGGAGAAAATAATCCCACTCCACTTTATGAACTTTTAGATGCTATTGGTCCAGCTGGAATTCAAGACCTCAGGAAGCATAATTAGTTCTCATGTCAAGGCTAAGCTCTCCAGGTATAAGAAGAGATAAACTTCCTTGTGTGGGTGCTAATTTCATCATGAAGTCTTTAATCACTTCTACAAATACAACAAAATTTTATAATTGCTTTTTTGTCTTTTACAAAGAGCAGAAAAACATGCTCCGTGTGTTAAGATAAGAAAGCCAGGAAAATTAAATTGAGCAAAGTACTTGCTACTCTTTCAGGGACTCCTTTAAACTCTCAAAGAAATTATTCCATTTATTTTGGATTTAAAGTTTTAAAATTCTAAAGTCATAGGCGAAATTGTGATTTGAACTCAGCCAGTGGTTCTTTACTCTTTTCCTGAAAAACAAAAACAAAAACAAACAAACAAAAAACCTGAACATCCATAGCTTATTTCTCACATCACAGAGGATCCAGGACCTCCTGCAGCTCATACTTGAAAGATTCCAAATCAAGAATCCCCAGACATCAATAAATGTAGAACTCTTTCTTGAAGCAAAATCACAGGCTTGCGGTATAGAAATCAGGGTCTGTATTGAGGACAGGGTGACTTAGATGGGGTCTGGTTCAGGCTGGAAATGAGAGCATTGAAACAATGCTTGTTCTTCGTGGTAATGGCAATGTGTGGTTGTGAGGATGTCCAGGGTGCTGAGGCTGCATCATGTCACGACTGCCAGGCCAACAACTCATGCATGACTGTGATGGCAACAGAGAACCCTTGCAAAGCTCAACTACATTTGGTGGAGAGGGCTGCTATAAGGTGAGTCCTAGCCACAACCATAAGCAGGACACAATCACTGACATACAGTGTGGGTGCCAGTTTGTCTGATTTATAGGAGATGTTGTGGCAAATGTGGCATCAGTTTCATTTCGAGGGAGTGGTAGATTACAGATATTTCCTTCGCAGCAGGAGGTGCAGATCTGAAAGAAAGGAGGGAAGAAAACAAAGGGTGAGGAGATGCCAGCCTGTTTCAACCTCCTGGCAATTAAGAATGGTGTGTTCTACAAAAGGGACATTGCCTAACATCCATCAAGCACAAGAATAATATCCCGTGTAGAAGCAGCATGCTCCAAATGAAAAATTCCAGCCTAAATTTCAGGGAACCTTAGTTCTGTTTTGGGCATCTCATCTGTGCTAGCTGCTAGGCTTCAAGTCCTCCAAGACAACAGTTATTCTGACTCTAAAATAAGAAATATGAAAATGGCCTTTCTTCCTCAAAGAGGCTTGTCCTGACAACAGGAAGTAAATGCTAAGAGGATAAAACTTCCTCCATGAGATTTTCACAATGAGGATAAAGTGGCAACAGCTTGGGTCAGGGGAACCTGAATGTTTCCCCTCATTAGTACTATGGGTATAGTTAATTCCATTCTCTTGAGTGGGAGACATTTGAAGGGTTCTAATTTATTCAATTGCTCTTGCTTTATATTGCTTTATCCTTGAATCATATGAAAGAAGCAAACCCATGTGATTATTGGCAGAAGTTATTTGGGGCCATGCCTACCCACTGTGTTGATGAGCAGTCTCAACACCAATTGGGGTCTTGTTAGAAATGCAGACTCTCACACCACTCCCAGCATTTGGAGGTCTAGGATCTGAATTTTAACAAGATCCCAGATAAATCAGATTAAGGTAGTTATTATCCAATAGTTAATTGTTAGGAAACATGTAAACGTTTTGGCCACAACCAACATGAGTTCCAAAAACAGCATAATGCTGAGAAGAGAGACTAGAGGTTAGGAGTGAGTTTGAATTCCATTCCTGTCTTTCTCTTACTGGTTATGTAACAAGCAATTGGCACATCTTTGGACTCCCGGTGCTCCTTTGGGGAAAAAAGAAATCACAATAATGTCTGAGAGCCAAGCCCATCTTGTTGGAGGGGTTGGGTACTAACCTTGATTTGACCTTTCTTCAAACTAGTAATAAGTAGGCAAATGGCATTTTAAATTTAAATTCTTAGTGAATTTGAGAAGTAGCTTAAAAATTGTTACTGCTTTTTGTGAATGAAAGTAGCCCTTGGTGACAATGCTGTTCCAGGGTACCGAGAAAGGGTGTTTCCCTGAAATCCAGGGAGATAGTTTGACATGGGAGCAGATGTCAAACAAAGGCCTGCCAAAGTGTGACAAGTTAAGACCACACAGTCAGCAATGACCCACCACAGGAAAAGCAGGACTCCAGCGATAAACAATGCTGGCTTCTTTATACTCTCCTTCCTAGACATCCCAAAGCTCATTTTACACAGAATGCTCTGTATACAGGCATCAGCTAATGTTCAAGGGAATAAATCCACAAGAGTGGCTTTCTTACCATCTAAGGAATGACTCAGGGGCCAATGGAGCACTTTCCTAAACTGAGACCTTAATAATGGCATACACCCTCGCTTTACAGAAAGTTATGAAAATATATTGCTTCCTGCTGCCTCTGATAGAAGAACTGGAGTATGTGTTAGACTATATCAACATGGGCATGAGTGGTCTCTGATTATCTCCTTTCAGGACTCTTCTAAGTGAAGAAAAGGCCCATGATAAGCTTCAGCATCCTCTTTACATATGCTTATACACTCCATCTGCTTGTCCTCTGCCCTGCTACACATTGGTATTCTTCTAAAGCAAACAGGAAAACAAGCACATTTTCCCAGCCACATAAAGACAGTGAAGCAGCCTATGTAGGGAATGGGTGGCGGGAGACCTGCTAATGAGCCCTGGAGAATCCAGTAAAGGGAGTGGGAATTAATGTTTTCCAGACCTTGTGGCCTTGCTCCGAGTCTCGACAGCCGGTGGATAAGCACTCCTCCAGTGGGACACAGCGCTTGGTGACAGAGATGCTGTTTCCTGTGACTTCCATGATGTGCTGAGTGTAGCAGTATCTGGTGTCTGTCAGGAGAAAATAACCCTTAATTGAGATGGGAAATGCAAGCCCTGTCTGGTTGAAAAGAACACAGCAGGCTGTCTTCCTGGATGCCCCTGAAATTCATTTTACATGAAATGCTCTAAATATAGGCAGCAGATGATGGCTGAGAGAACCAAATCCCAAAGGAAGTAGCTCTCTCACCACCTGTCAAATGACTCAGATGCCAATGAAGTATTTTCTTAAATGGGGACCCCAATAATGAGATGAACCTTCACTTCACAGAAAGTTACCAACACAAACTGTATCCTGCTTCCTTAGTTGATGACTCAGTGTTTGCCATGCTCTACTAAGGTGATTCCTAGGAAGGTATAGAAACGCACAGGATGAACACAACCTCCATGCTAATATCCACTTCACCGTGGCACAGGTATGCACTCTGCAGAACCCTGATCTCTCTGTCCATCACAATCCCCCAAAGCAAGACACATAGCATAACTCTGCCTTTTCAACCGTTTAATCTTTGCTCTTATTTTTATTTTTAGGAGATGACTGGTTCAGAGTATGGCTGCTTATAGTGATTGAGAAAGAAAATATTAGGAGGAATGACAGGTCTTCAGATGGAAGATTAGGGTTGTGTGTGTGTGTAAACACACACGTGCACATAAGTGTACATGCATGCATGTAAAGTGTCAGGAGCAGTGCAGCCTAGTCTCTAATCAGCATATGACCACCTGTCCAATGGATTTCCTCTGGGATAGACATCTGTGGAAAGAGAGTCTCACTTGGCAAGGACCAGTAGTACATGGGGCAGCATAGGAATTTGCAAAATTCATGGAGCTTGCAGGCTCTTTTCTCTCTCATTATATTGTTGACCCTTTGGGTGGTTTTTAGTTTTACTTTGTCAATCACACATGTAACAGGTATAATTTTCCCTGGAAATTCTGTTCTTTCTCAAATATTTTCCTCTAGGATTCAACAGGGAGGCCAAGGCTTCTCAAATCTCTTATCTGGAATTACTAACTATAGTTCCTAATCCTGGCAAGTTCTGACTCAATAGACACAGTTATGTATATATGAGAAAACAACACCTGAAACAGTAACCATGTCTCACAGTTCTGGAAAGGAGAATAGGGCAAGCATATACAGAATAGGGGAAACACCTTGGGAATACACATAGTGCCTATCGTTGAGAGTAAGTGACCTAGACACAAAGCATATAGAATCAATGATAGGATCTCATATAATCCAATGGGGAAAATGCAACATAAAATTTGGGATGGAGAGATCCATCTTTACCTACACAGGAGCTTATATTGGTGGGAGAAGTATGGTGGAGTGCGATGGGAAAAGAGTCCTTATCAAGGTCTGCCTTTTATAGAGAGATTGACACATGGGACCCTCTTGTAGAAATGGAAACTGTTTAAAAGCATACCTTGTGAACATGAAAGAATCATTTGGTTTTTTAATATTGCTGTCCTTAAAGCATTATACCCATGTCTATTACTTTTTAACTTTGTAACCACAAGTAGTTACCAGCAGACTAAGTGCTGCAAGAGTAGGATGTGTCCTGGCTCAATACTTAGTTAAGCCTGCAAAAATGTTGAACTTCGTTTCTGGAATACAATTTTGTAGGAGATGGGAAAATATATTTGGTGAAGCATAAAGGAAACAATGGGGGCTTTTATAATGATTATATGTATTTCTTAAAAGTCAAAAATAAGGGCCAACAATAAAGCTGTTCATGTAAACGAGGTAAGAAAAAAACTCTTTTTCAATATAAATAAAGACAGCTCGAGCTAGTTGGGGCCACTTGTGTACAATCTACCTGGTGGTCAGAATTTTTCCTTGCATCCCCTTCCCCATCTCAGAACCTGAACCTGAGTCAAGACTGGACCCCAGCAGTAAAGTATCCCAACATGGTATCAGAAGAATTAGAAATGGGCAAAAATGACTCTACACACACACACACACACACACACACACACACACACAAGAAAAAAAATCTTGGAAAAGCCAGATCTAGAATGCTAGAATGTTCAGAAACTGACCAACACTATAGGTCTCCAAACCTGGGGAACTTCATTTCTCTTCCTTTGATGTCTATGACCCTCTGGGAGATGACAACCACTATGGCAGTGTATAGTCCCTCTTCATCTTGAGAAGAAAGCTTGAGATTTCTTCCAGAGTCTTCACAGAGAATTTGAGGACTAAAGAAAAATGATACTACCAAAGTCATTATTTATGGCCTGCAGGCAGCATAGGACACGCAGTTCCAAAAGCCTGGGTGTAGGAGAATGCTCCAGTCGTTCCGTCATATTCCAAGTGAATGAATAATTCTTAAGAAGTGTCACTTAGCTGTTTTTCATCCGTATCTTGGCTCTAACTCTACATGCTTTATACATTTGGGGCATTTAGTTGCTAATATAGAATTATGATCTATGGAATTATTTATTAGGCAATAAAAATCCCCCCATCAGATTCTGTCATGATTTTGGCAGCTTTTTACCAAAGAGCTAATATTCGAAGGAGAAAGCTTAAGTCATTAGGTCCCAGAAATGAGCTAATAAAGTCCACACTGACATGTCTTGGAAACACGATAACTCGGGGGTTTTAAATGTCTTTCTAGACATGCTCCCCTCATACAACCCAGAATCACCTCTGAATGACCAATGGCTGCTCCTTTCCAGGGTGACATAGTTGTGGATGTTTATTCCCTGTCAGGGTTGCTGTCCCCACAATGCACCCTGCCTGGAATTCTGTTTCCTAGAGACTACAGTGGTCTCCAGCCAGCTCAGGATCCTGTAGAGTTCTTGGGGATTAGGGTAAATGAGGTCATCTGGGGGTGAACAGTTGATAGCACTACACCTGGCAAATCCTCCCAAGCCCTGGCTTCTAATTAAAGGTGGAGGTGATTGGATATTGGATGAAGAGGGGGGCAGTTTTCTCATCTGCCTGTTTGGCATGCCCAAGAGATTTACCCCATCTCCCATAGAGGACTGCTTTACCACTTTGGCATCAGAGGATGGACATTTATGGCCATGACAGGTACACCTTTCCCACTCCCACCCCGACTTCAAATGTTGCAGAAAGCAATAAAAGCAGGAATGTTCTTATCTCCTGGCTCTGCTTCGTGCAAGGAACTTGAGCAGCTGCCTGAGACTGTAGAGCAGCTAGAAATGTAAATGTGCACAGTTAACATCACACCCAGATGGAATGAGTAAATCACTACAAGCTTTAGTTGGGAAACTAGATTTGTACCCCAAGCAATGAACAATCATATTTGAAATAAGCCTTAAGATAACAATTGGTAAACTGGATACAACTACCTTTTTCATGCTTTTTCTCATTAATTTATCAATAGGAGGGTTGTTTATTCCTTCATATGCAAGTGGTTCTGGTTCCAGTAACAGATTCATTTTTTTTTTCAGGAAAACGTGTAAAACCCTAACATCTAATAAACTAATTTTTGTCTTCCTGTGGTGAGGGGAGATGGAGTTCATTGAGAATGTAGGGAAAGAATATTTTTCTAAACACCATCAAGTGTAATCCATGAAACAGTTATGTTGAGAGCACCACCATCAACTCCCATAGTAGAGACTGTCTTCATTCTGAAACAGCAGTTTCTCAAAGCCATTCATTCCACTTAAATTGTGAAGCCCTGGGTGAGTCATGAAATGTTAATGCAGAAAAAGGTTCTGCAGTTAAATATGGTTTTGAAATGCTTTGAAATGGTTTTGAAATGGGTTGAAATAAAGTTGAAGGGGTTTCACTGGTGCACATTTTATGAGCGCCTCCAATATGTACTGGGATCTGAGTTCTCCAAGGGTGTGTTGGAGCTTGAAGATGGAATTTCCTGAGCAGAACCAGGTGAACCACATGTGGCTACCACTGGCTGGAGCAGTGAGCAAAAGTGTGTTTTAGTCACAGAGCACGACTCTCTCTGCATTCTGAAGAATCCTGGGGTTGGTAATGAGGTTATATGAGAATCAAGCCTGCTGATAACTTCACACTAAAAGGATTTCAAAGGCTTTTATCTAAAAGATAAAAGATGGATTTGAATTTCTACCAGGTTAGTTTCAGCTCTAAAATCTTATATTCTGCAACTGCATAGAATTCCCAGAGGTTGAGAAGCCAAACTCGTTGACTCACAGTAAAGTTACAAATGGGAAAGACAGCTCAATCAATAACTGAAAAACACAAACTATAATTTTCACAACTCTTCTCTGTATCTGTCTCTATATGTCCCTCTCTCTCCTTAGCCATGTTTTGGAATTTAAAACCAGTTCACAGCTAAAATGCATTTCCACTAACCAATATAGTTTCCAATAAAAGAAACTGCTTCTACAAACTATACATGGGATGATTTGAATTAAGACATCACATATGCCTGTGTCAGAGGAAAACACTTCCTCACTGCTCTGTCACTGTCTGTGGTTCTGCTTGTTGGGGTATACACAAAGAGGTATAATTTTTAAAGCAATACTAGGAAACAACTCCTCGGGTGCAAGAAAATGAATGGGAAGCAAAGAGTTGTAACAAGAGCATTACAGATTATACTAGAAATCAAAGGGCTAGTGGCCCCTGCCTGCACACCACTGCTTAGTTGTTACTCTGCACCCAGTTCCACACATCTACCCAGTTCCACACATCTACACAGCTGGCTGGGCAGCAACTGCTCCCCCAAGGGCCTGAGGTGCAGGATCTCTTTGCAGTTCCCACTCTATTGTTTAATCACCTCTGTGGGATTTCCCACCTCAACTTCAGAGACACATCTTCCAGGTGGTCTCTCCGGTCTTTTCTCTTCCAATGCTGTTTTAACCAGAGTGCAGACATTCTCTCATGTTTAGTCCTTGAACCTCTTTTTACTCAGGGGACCTCATCAAACTTCTGACACCACATCTTTAGTCTCCTTCTTCCATCTGTCTCCTGGACACTGCCAGTGTCACATCATACCTCATATGACCATAACAACAACAACAACAGCAGCAGCAGCAACAAAGTCTCCCACCTTTATCCTTCTATG